TAGAAAATGTGAGAGGGTCATATGGAAACTAGATGGTTTCCTGGGTGCTGCTGTCTACCTTGCATGGCCAAAGACCTCAACAGCAACTGCCATCCTCTGTGCTCATTTGTGGTCTTTGTTTGTTTGGTTTTTTTTGAGTTGGAGTCTCACTCTGTTGTACAGACTGGAGTACAGTGGCACAGTTATGGCTCACTGTGGCCTCAGCCTCCTGGGCTCAGGAAATCCTTCCACCCAGCCACCTGAGTAGTTAGGACGAAATGCATGTGCCACCACAACTGGCTTATTTTTTGCTTTTTTTTTTTTTTTTTTACAGAGATGAGGTCTCACTATGTTGCCTGCCAAGGATGGTCTTGAGCTCCTGGGCTCAAGCAATCCTCTTGTCTTGGCCTCCCAAAGTGCCAGGATTATAGGTGTAAGCCACCACACTTGGCCATTTGCTGTCTTTTTTATGAGATTTTTGTTGATGACCACGGGCAGTCCCACTGTGTATCCTGACACCATTCCGTGACCTTCTACCCTCCTCTAATTTAAAATACCTACAGGATTGTCAGTTTTCTTTTTTGAACTTAAAACACTGACGCAGAAATCTGAAGGTGCTTGCAGAGAGCATGGATGTAACTCAAAGCATAGTTATGTGAGTCAGTACAAATGAAGAATGGGAAGATTTCACACAGATTAGAAAACACTGGAAGGTAATTAATTATACAGCAGCATTTTATAGCCTGTCACACTAATACTGTGATCACTTTCCGTTCTCTTCGGCAACACCTACGAGGGTTGACACATAGGACACGGTTAGACCAGGTTTTATATAGTTGATAGAGAATATGAATATGACTGATCCTCATAGAGAGATTGAAGATAGAATAGGGCCTAAGTACAGAGAAACATACAAATGTACAAATATTTGATGGTTTGCCTTGGTAAATTAAGTCTGGAGTAAATCAGTATTAGAAATTACGAGATATTTCTTCCTTAGTCCAATGTTTTTATTGCCGTATAAAATGAGAATAGTGGGATTTGCACATAGTATCTCCTTTTTTCCTTCTCTAAACTCCTCCAAAAGCTAGTAACTCTTCATCCCCTGGGCATATGCTTACAGCTTTAGAAAACATCCATGAGAGTGGGTATGGCCGTCTGTGTCCTGGAGTGGCAGCTCACATTCTTTGTTCCAAGAAATGCCTTGTTTTCATGTACAGCATCTATTCAAAAGGGATTTGAATAGAGGTTATGAAAGAGACTGATAGGGTTATTTGCCAGCATAAGCAAGAAATCTATGTCTTGATTTGAGATCCATGATGGAAAGCAGATTGTAGAGTTTATCCTTTGGCCTTTGTAACAGGGCATTCCTGGTTGCAAACAAATACATCTATTAAAGTACACAATTTGGCATATTATCTGTGTATGATTGCAGCTCAGCCCAGCACAGCCTAGGAGTTCTCCAGTAGAACTGGAAATACAGTAGTGATTCTTTGTTCATTTTATCACATGCATTTTCCATTTTCTTTTTCCTTTTCTCTTGCAATTTTCAGAATTCAGCTATCAAATTGAAAATCCATCTACAGTAACGTCAGTGATTACAAAATAAAATGTGGGTTATTCCACATCATTTTTCCAAGCCAGGCTTCTATCACTTATGTTATGGGTCTTACATAATCTTTAATATTTTAAAGACCATTATCCAATAATACATATAACAGGTCTGCCTGGAAAATATAGAACTGTTGACATGGGAAATGAGGAATTTTCTTACTTTAACCTACTGTCAATGAACTGAGGCAGCACATTTTTCTTAGAAGATGGTTTACAAATATTCACCATGTCAGAAAATAGTACCCTGTATTTAGAATGTTTCTAAATACTAAGGTTTAGAGATACAGTGCTCTGTCTCACATTCCTCATGTACTGTCAGTTTTAGTACTTATGTGTACAAATGAATTACACTCTAGTAAATTAGTATAGTAGCCAATAAATAAGCAAAAGTAAACTTAAAACTCAACATTGAGGCTTGATTTTAGCAAATCGTATTTACTCCTCATTTTTTTTTAAAGTCTAAAATATTTCACTTAAGTCTTTGATTTGGCCATTTCAGTGACTTGCTCCAAAAGGCTAAATGTTATATGCCTATCATTTTTAATAAAAATATGATTTACTGAAGATGTTTATAGTTTTTAAAATGTTTAAAAGCTCTTCAGCTAAGGTAATCCCTTATTACTTGTAATGCCTTTTACGTGATTTATATTAGTCATTCTAGTTTTTTTTAAAAAATGTTTTTTTTCTTGTTGCATAATTGCACAAAAGGATCTTTTTTATTACCATAGCAACTTAGTTGCATTGTTTGAACTGGAGCTGTCTTTTATTAAATGTATCATTGGTCTCTAGGAAAATTGCCACCCTTTTAATAGATGAGATTCTGGGAGTAATTCCTAATATAGTATCTCAAAAGAGCTTTCTGGTAGGGTCTATAAATAAAAATATCTATCTTGTGAAACATTCTTCTGAACGTACCCCTTGAAGATTGGTTTTATGTTTAACTGCATCTGCCTCCTGATTGAATTTCACCTCATTTCATTCTGGGTACCTCTTTCTCCCTCTAAATAATGGGGGAAGAAACACTACAGGAAGAGACTAAGAAAGCATTTTATCTAAAGATTTGTTTCATTCATTCTAAATTATAAATTTTTCACCTGAATCTGTTTTTTTCCTTCTGTTAATAAACCACATTAGAAGGGTAGGGTACCATTTGCACTACAGAATTTAAAAATATATCATCATTCTGTAAAAGCAGTTTACTTTTTGCTGACAGCCTTTTTGTACATTTTTATTATTAATTCGGTACCCCTTTCCTAACAGTGCTCAAAGAGAGAACGATCTGGGATATTTGGGGATATAGCATTTACAGAGCTGTGGAAGTATCAGGAGCCCCTTACTCCTCATCAATTATGCAGCATTGCTGTGAAAGAAAGAAAAATGACCCAGTGTTGGTCTGCCTATTGACCTAGTTCTGAAAATTTGGGTCACAAAACTTTGTAATAGTTTCCTTGTAAATCATGTATGTGTTGTCAGAGGGAGGGTCTTGCGTTTGTCCTTCTTGCCTCATACATAGTGATGAAACTGAAACAACGTGTATTAGCCAGAACGAATGGGCAGTGCTGCTGCAGAGGGCATTGCTTCACACCAGCCTCATTCAGTCTCAGCCGGTTTTGCTTTTTGAAAAAGAGCAAGGAACTTTTCCCCTAATAACACCACTAAAATGCTGAGTCGACTTTTCATTTTTACCTTGAAATAATTGCATTGTTGACCCTAAAGCAGCAACTAAATGTCAAGTTGAGACTGGTGGCAACTATGCTGGGCAAACCCTGGCTATTCTCTGTTGCTCACCAGGCAAGAGCTGGCCTTTTACATACATCATCACAATTGATCGTCATAACACAGCCCTTCTAAGTACATAATCTCATTTTACAGATGAGCAAACTGAGGTTCAGAAATTTTTTTTTTTAAGTTGGAGTGTCAGTCTGTCACCCAGACTGGAGTGCAGTGGCCGCTCCCGGCCACCACAGCCTCGACCTGCTGGGCTTCGGCGATCCTTCCGCCTCAGCCTTCCAAGTAGCCGGAATTACAGGCATGTGCTACCACGCCCAGCTGATTTTTTGATTTATTGTAGAGATGAAGTCTTGCTGCCCAGGCGGGTCTCGAACCCGCGGGCTCAGGCAATCCACTCACCTCAGCATCCCAAAGGCGTGGGATTACAGGCTGAGCCACCGAGCCCGGCTGAGGTTCAGAATATTAAATAATTTGCCTAGTGTCACACAAGTAATAGGTGACAGAGTTGAGCTCAGTTCTGTCTAAATAAAAACACCTACATTCTTTTTACTGTTTTATGCCACTTCTTAAATTATTTAAACATATTAAGAATGTTTTGTAAAATGAGTCTTCTGCCCCAGCATTTTTCTTTTTCCTCTCGCCTTTTTTTTTTTTTTTTAATGGGGAGTGGACGCATGGTTGAAGGAGAAAGAGAAGTCAACAGGACCCAGATCTTTGATTCTTTTTTTTTTTTGAGTTGGAGTCTCACTCTGTCGCCCAGACTGGAGTGCAGTGACCGCTCCCGGCCACTACAGCCTCGACCTGCTGGGCTCCGGCGATCCTTCCGCCTCAGCCTTCCAAGTAGCTGGAACTACAGGTGCACGCTACTATGCCCGGCTAATTTTTAATTTTATTGTAGAGATGAAGTCTTGCCAAGTTGCCCGGGCGAGTCTCGAACCTGCAGGCTCAGGTAATCCACTCACCTCAGCCTCCCAAAGTGTGGGATTACAGGCTGAGCCACTGAGCCCGGCTTGATTCTATTTTGTAAGGAATAAAGTAGATTAGATTGATTTTTCTTTCCTCATACTCCATCACAGCAATATGACATCCAAATTGACCAAAATAACAACTAGGTAAGTAATTGCTTGATTAAAATCTCATATTAGGCCTTGCCTGATTCCTAATAATTGATGAAAAGTTAGGTGACATTATTTTCACTTTAGTTTTGAGATACTGTCAATCTTTAATTAATTTGTCATGTATGCTTTTCATTTGACCACATTTTAAAGGAACATTTTCCAACAAAGTTAAAATAAAAGGATAAATGTTTTAGGCAAGGAATATCAGTATATTTGAAAGTTTATGAGGGAATAGACAAGTTAATGAATGACCCTAATCTTATATTAAACAGTATATACATTGGCAGAGGAACATCCTGTCTTTTTAAAGTAATTTTTATATTCGAAGAAGATGGTTCTTGGTTAACTAAATAAATATAAATGCCAACTCAAGGTAATGTGGGTTTTTAAAGATCAGGTTTTATAGCCCAACTTTTAATTTTGGTATAAACTCTAAATTTAGTTGAATTCAACATAACATAAAACTAATCAAACATGCTAGGCATTTTACTTCTACAGAGTTTAGAACATTTTACCTAAATCACTGCCTCTAATTGTGGGGTCTTATTTCCCTTTCAGATATAGAGGACTTAAAATATGCTGCTTTTGGAAGCTACAGTAGCAATTTTGCAGTGAGCACACTTACAAGCTATGACTGGTCAGACAGGGATGATGCATCTCAGGGCAGAAAACTTTCTCCATTTGTCCTCTCAGCAGGAAGTGGATCCCCCTCAGCCCCCTCAATTCTTCAAAAGAAAGAGACTTCATTTGGCAGTTCTGAAAACCTCACCGTGACGTCTCTGTCTAAGGTAACGACCTTTGCAAGTGAAGACGCTCTCCCAGAGACTACCTTCCCAGCTTTTGCCAGTTTCAAAGAAATGATTCCTCAAACTAGTAAGCAAAAGGAATACGAAAGCAGGGACTGTAAAGATTTCACAACACAGGACCTACCTACAGCTGAACGGAGCCAAGAGGCCACATGTCCAAGCCCAGCCTCCAGCAGTGCCTCTCATGAAACCCCCAAAGAATGTTCCGATGACTTTGGAGAGTTTCAAAGTGAAAAGCCCAAAATCAGCAAGTTTGACTTTTTAGTAGCCAATTCACAAAGCAAAATGAAGTCCAGTGAAGAAATGATCAAAAGTGAGCTGGCAACCTTTGACCTTTCTGTTCAAGGTGAGTAGCTTTTAAGGTAGATTTTACTATCAGAGTTTTTTCCAATGAGATGTTAGATGTTCTTTCTTAAGAATAAAATGTTAGCTGGTTGTGGTGGCTCACACCTGTAATCCCGGCACTTTGGGAGGTGGAGGTGAGAGGATTGCCTGAGCCCAAATGGTTCGAGACCAGCCTGGGCAACTTGACAAGATCCCATCTCTACAATAAATCAAAAAATTAGCTGAGCGAGGTGGCACATACCTGTAGTTCCAGCTACTTGGAAGGCTGAGGCAGAAGGATCACCTAAGCCCAGCAGGTCAAGACTGTGGTGGCTGTTTGCGTGCCACTGCACTCCAGCCTGGGTGACAGAGTGAGACTATGACTCAAAAACAAACAAAAAGAAACAAACAAAACAAAAGAATAAAATTTTGATTCTTGGTTTAGCAGAAAATAGATTTTCTAATCTTTGAAATCAGGGTCAGTTACAGATAGCTATAATAAAGACTCCCTGAAGCTGAGCTAAAGTCACATCAGTATCTCTCAGATAACTGCTTTTTGGGCTACAAGCAAGCATAGCATGCGATTATTGTTCATTAGCTTTTTGGTTAGAAGTGTGCTATGTTAAAAGAACCAGAGAAATGGATTTGATCCACTTGTAGGCACATTAACTCTGCTCTTGTTCCCTGGGCACAGTACAGTTTCTTAATCCAGAGACTACAATGTGGTAGCTTTGAATCTGCATCAAGCCTGTGGATCTGTTTTGATTGACCCACATAGAAGTTCTTTAAAAATGTGAAGTAATTGCCAATATTGAAAAATTAGGAGATTTTGCAATCTGAATTTCTAGCTGTTCTTGAAAAGTCATAATATCTGGCAATACTAGGCCTGTATGCCCATGTCTTGACAATCCACTGGAGGAGAAGCGCCCCCAATAGATGGGGTATGCTCTCTCTTTTGCTGCAGTTTCTACCACTTCTATCTCCAAGTGACCTACCTCTGTCATTTACTTTACTCGCCTTGTCTCTGAAGACAGTTGAGTTTGCCTCTACGTTTTGGTCCACCTGGACAGGAGGGATCATTGATTTCAGTTGGATTGGAAGGGTGTGTAGGGGTTCAGCTGCAAATAACAATGACAGGAAAGCAGTACAACTGGTATGCACTGGTGTTTTGAGAGGCAATTTTGTGCCCTAGAATCCAGTGGATCTGCACTGAGAGTTATGGAAGAATTATGATAGTTCTGAGAAAAGTAGTGGAGGAAACGAAAGGCAGGGAAACCAAGCAATATAGAACAGTTGAAAGGCTTCAACATGTAACTTCCCAGACAGAATGAATGAGGATTGTGTTTCTGAGTGCCTTGTGACATAAACATCTGAAGAAGGTCGTGTTGGTAAGAAAGATCCCCTGCTTGCACTAAGCTGAGTGATCAGAACCTTTGACTATACCGTCACTTCTCCCAGGATCACACAAGAGGAGTTTAAGCCTCGGTGATAAAGAAATAAGTCGTTCTTCTCCTTCTCCGGCTTTGGAGCAGCCCTTCAGAGATCGTTCCAACACGCTGAGTGAAAAACCTGCTCTGCCTGTCATCCGTGACAAATACAAAGATCTGACAGGAGAGGTGGAGGTGAGCAGGATAGCTTTCTAGGGAGGAGCCTGGGGGGCAGGTAAAAAACCAACTGGGCCCTGAGGGCCTCAAGAAAAAATGCTTTCAGCTTTCACATGGGGAGCTGGGAGGCAGAAAGATACAAGACACCAGATATAAAATATGTAGCTAAAGTGAGAGAATGTAACATTAGCCCTGGTTGAAAATATTTCCCAGATGTGGCATCCACTGAAAGTAGTCAGTGATTCAAACTATTCACAGGACTTCGCAAGGAGGGAAATGTTTGTGTATTGTTTTTGAGCACTTAGAGTTTATCATCCTTTAGTTTTTTCTGAGTCAGGATCTCACTCTGTCACCCAGGCTGCTGTGCAGTGGGCTCAAGTGATCCTCTTGCCTTAGCCTCCCAAATAGCTGGGACTACAGGCACGTGCTACTATGCCTAGATAATTTTATCTTTTTTTGAATCAGGGTCTCACTCTGCCACCCAGGTCATTGTGCAGTGGTACGATCACAGCTCACCACAGCCTTGACCTCCTGGGCTCAAGTGATCCTCCTATCTCAGCTTCCAAGTAACTGGGACTATCGGCACACGCCACCACACCTGGTCGATTTTTTTTTTAGTTATAGAGTTTTTAAGTTTTTTTTTTTAGTTTTTATAGTTTTTTTTAGCTTTTGCTGTGTTGCCTAGGCTGGTCTTGGACTCTTGGGTTCAAGCAGTCCTCCCACTTCGGCCTCCCAATGTGCTGGGATTACAGGCCTTAGCCGCCACACCCAGCTATCATCTTAATGAATTTTAAAACCTCAAAATAGAGGAGAGAGGGAGAATATTCTAAATCTTCAGATTATTTCTGTTTGCTGCATCTTGGTCCCATGCTTTCTTCCTCCTGTAGCCAACACACCTAACTCTCCTCCTTCCCCATTCCTTGTTGTACATGTACATATGTGCATGTACTCACACACAGCATTTAACTGTGGAGTGGAAAGCCAAAGGCTTGATGTTGGTTTTTGTACTAGATACCTCCATGGTGAGAACCTTTCAAGAAAGGCTTACACTGTTGCTGATGGAAACAAATGAAGCAAAATTTACAGAGGAAAACTGCTAGAAAACATTTCCCTCAGATTCACAGGTCATGTCCTCAGAAGTTACACATTTTAGTAGTTTAAAATCACTATTGGTGGGTTCCAAAGGATAGAATGATTTTAAGAAAAAGGAAAGTTTTTCTCTTTGAGTTGGCAGAAGTCCTAAGTAGAGGATTCCAGGCTTGCATATTTAACCTATTTCTTTTATAAAATCTACAGGAAAATGAGCGATATGCTTATGAATGGCAGAGGTGCCTGGGGAGTGCCCTGGATGTGAGTATGTCACTTTTGTGTTTACACACAAGCAAGTACTCACTTGTGGCATTTTGCTTTCTTATTGGTTTATCTGAATGGACAGAGGCAAACTTCAGGAGAGCCTTACTTCGATGGCCTTGTGCAAAGTGAAACTCCATCTTACATCTTTAGTGAGACTTCTTACACATTTATTTATAATAGCAAGCACTGGCTTATTTATCAGTTAGTCCCCTATCTGTCACTGTGTTTAAAAATTTTTTAAATGAGCCAGGCACAGTAGCTGTAGCCTGTAATCCCAACACTTTGGGAGGTAGAGGTGAGAGGATTACCTGAAACTCAGGGGTTCAAGACCAGCCTAAGCAACATAGCAAGACCTCATCTCTATGATAAATAAAAAATTATTGTGACCAGCCTGGACAACATGGTGAGAGACCTTGTGCTTATAATAAATTAAAAAATTAGCCAGGCGTGGTAGCACGCACCTGTAGTTCCAGCTACTTGGAAGGCTGAGGTGGCAGGATTGCCGGAGCTTAGCAGGTCGACGCTGGGATGGCCGTGAGTGTGCCATGCACTCCAGCCTGGGCAACGGAGTGAGATTCCAACTCACACACACACAAAAGTTAGCTGGGCATGGTGGCGCATATCTGTGGTTCCAGCTACTTGGAAGGCTGAGGTGGAAGGATCACCTGAGCCCAGTAGGTCAAGGCTGCAGTGGCTGTGAGTGTGCCACTGCACTCCAGCCTGGGCAACAGAATGAGACTCCAACTCAAAAAAACAAAGTGATATCATTAACTCTGCCTAAATCAAAATAATATTTATTAATTTAAAAGATGTGGAGTACAATTCAGGATTAGGTATATAAGTAGTGATCATACAGTTAAAGTTTGGGCCTCCCTTTGGTCCCCACTTTGCCTGGTTTGAGATCAGGTACCCTTATTGATGTTGTGTCCCCCACCCCCAAATAATATTTAAACTAAAGAACCTCTATCTTGTCTCTCCCAAAGAAATGGAGAATTGTTGCTTCAAAGTTAAAATTAAATTCACAGATTGGTTTCAGAACAGTCATATACACGTATCAGTCAGTCATGCTCTTTTATACCTTCTGGCTTTTTGGTTGGGTTTTCTACTAATAGTAAAATGATTTTCAGTGACTTTTCTTGGTTATGTAAGGTGATGTGATTTCATTTCTTGTAGGTTATTAAGAAGGCAAATGATACCTTAAATGGAATCAGTAGTAGTTCTATTTGTACAGAAGTAATTCAGTCAGCTCAAGGCATGGAATATTTATTAGGTATGTTCTTTTATATTACTATTAAAAATCATGGCACTTTACATTATTTTCCAGTTTTTCCTTATGTTAATTATTTTAAGCTCACTCTCTCATGGTATATATAACTTCACTAAGTAGCATCTGCATTTGTGAGTAAGACACTTAAACCCAGGCCTTGTTATATACATAATGGCAACAGTGTAAAAATTATATCTGTGTTACTGGTTGATCAAAGAGTCTGAACTAGTAATTCATTCAAATGAAATCATTTTGTCTCCAATCAATGCCTTACCATACTCTGGACTCTTCCTCTCCATCCCTTGATGACATCAGAGATTCCTTAACATCCTGGCCACCTGCAGCTATTAAACCTCCCAATCCAACCGAAACCAACTCAGTGTTCCTCTCCTCCCCAAGTTCAGCTGTGGCCTGTGGCCAGAGACACATGCACTGTATCCTAATCTTTTTCAGATCTTTACTCAAATGTCAGCTTCTAAGCGAGGTCTTCTGTAGCATCCCTTTCTCCAAACGGTATTTCCTCTCCTCCTCCCAGCACTTTCTGTCTCCATCTTTGCTGAATTTTCTCCTTCTTTGCTGAATTTTCTCCTTAGCCCTATCACCTTCAGTATCTTACATATTTTGTTGATTGCTCTTCTTTTTACTGTTTCTCTCCACTATAATGAACTTGCAAGAAAGCAAGGATTTTCGTCTGTTTGTTAAACACCTAAATAGTGCCTGACACATACTGGGCACACACAAGTGTTTGCTGGAGGAATGGAGAGTGAAGGGATGTAGCCTCTGCCCTCCTCCTCCCTCTTCATTCCGAGTCCTCTTTTCCTGCTCACAATTCTGCAGTATAAACAGATGTCCACCAGGAAAGGGGGTGCCTGTCTTTTCCTCTAGTTTCCTAATTTCTACTAAAGATTCTCTTAGAAGCCCTAATTTCTACTAAAGATTCTCTTAGAAGCCCTCTCTCTTGGCTTAGGTTGGGCAATAATTCCTGCTCTTCCCTAGGGAAGGAGGAGGAAAAGCCATAGTGCTGTGCAGAAGGCTGGCAATTAACTACTCTGAAGATCCCCTGGAATTCCTTCACTATTCACGTAGAAAGGCTAGGGTCACGTGCTTGGTGACTGTCACATTGCAGGGGTTGGGGATGTGTCTGGTGATTGTCCTTAGAATATGGAGTTACTTGGCACCTTTCCCTTGCTTGAAAAGTTCAACTACAGTTTAGAGACCACAGGAAAAGAGCTGCTCGCATCCAGTTAAGTGTATAAAAGACTTTATACACTTAAAACTATGAAGCCAAAGAGTTTGTCAATCCTTGGAATTCAGAGGAGTGAGGTATTTCTTAATTACTTTGTGATATTAACATTTAGATTCTTTTAAACTTTTACCATTCCCATATTCAGCCAGTTTAATTGTGATTTCCCAGATTTAAACAGATGGACTCATAAATAAATCTTTAAAAAAGAAGCTGATAACTTGCATGTTACCTGTCATTTTCTCCAGACACTGTTCTAAGTCTTTTACAGTACTAACCCATTTAATCCTCTTAACCATTCTTTGAGGAGGTACTGTTATTATTCCAACTTTACAGATAAGGAAACTGAAGAACAGATTATGTGACTCGCCCAAGGTTACCTAGCTAAAGAGGCAGAACTGGGATTTGAACCCAGGCAGTGTAACTTTAGAGTTTGTGCTCTTGCTAGTCAGCTGTTGTACAGCATTGGAAGGTGAGTTGGTCCCAGAGAATAGTAAGTTCACCTCTATCCAGATATATCCCTTAATTCCAGCTGAGATAGCAGTAAGCAGTCATGTTGCCCTGCCTTGCTCATCTCCCTCTATGCTTCTAGTACCTAACTTTCTGTTCTCATACCCCGTCAGGTGTTGTTGAAGTGTACAGGGTAACCAAGCGTGTGGAGCTGGGGATAAAAGCCACTGCAGTGTGCAGTGAGAAACTCCAGCAGTTGCTGAAGGACATCGATAAAGTTTGGAATAACCTGATTGGCTTCATGTCGCTCGCCACACTCACAGTAAGCCCATGAGACAATTCAACAGTTGCTTTTCTTTCCACATACCTCAGCTGTAAAGCAAGGTGTATATTTCTGTAATGGCACTTACTGGACACTGAAGGTACCTACTGAGGTACATTATGTTAAAGGAGGGGAATAGCAGGTGTGCAGCTGGTTGAATCGGGCTAAGTGGGCTTCTAGATGTCTCCAAGGCCCATTGTATCTAATTAAAATAAGAGCATGGGAAAACATGCTTTTTTTTTTGAGTCGGGGTCTCACTCTGTCACCCAGGTTATAGTGCACTGGCATGATCACAGCACATTATAGACTTGAACTACTGGGCTCAAGTGATCCTCCCGCCTCAGCCTCCCAAAGTGCTGGGATTATAGGTGTGTACCACTGTACTCAGCCTACATCTTTCTTCATTCACATACATATGTGAAAGTTTTGCAAAGCATTGGTTTGAGTTCCTTTGCACTTCTAGTTACTCATATCCCCATTGTGTCCTTTCAAAACGCTATAAGCCTGAGACCTAATTTTTTTTTTTTGAGTTGGAGTCTCACTCTGTCACCCACTCCTGGCAGGTCTGCTCCCGGCCACCGCAGCCTCTACCTGCTGGGCTCCGGCGATCCTTCCGCCTCAGCCTTCCAAGTAGTTGGAACTACAGGTGCGCGCTACCACGCCTGGCTAATTTTTGATTTATTGTAGAGATGAGGTCTCGCCAAGTTGCCCAGGCAAGTCTCAATCCCGCGGGAGACCTAATTTTTTTTAGGTCTTTGGATTATTTTCATTTTTTTTCTGTTATGAGTAGTTCTGCTCTGAATAAACAAATGACTGTTTTTCCTTTCGGGGATATACTTCCTCAAAGTGCCCTTAAGAGGTCAGTGTGTGTTTGCATGTGTGCATGCATGCATATGTGGCTACTGCTGAATTTATTAGATAGCTTTCCAGATAGTTATGACTAGTTGACAGTGCTACCAACAATGTATAAGTGCATGTGTGTATTTCTCTACATTATGTTCTAGTGTTTTTTGTCAATTTCTTAATTTAACAAGCACACAGTGGTTCCCTAAATGTTTTTTTGCATTTCTTTAATTTCATGAGATGCTTTGCAGTGTTCCTAATAATAATTTACTATTTCTATTTCTTTTGTGTATAAACTGATTTGATTCTTTGACCATTTGACCATTCATTCCTTGGAATATGGCTACTAACCTTACGTATTTCATATTTGTAATAGATTTATATACATATATATAGGCTCATAAACTTTTATCAGTTCTTTTTCCTCCTCTATTACTGTCCTTTTTTTACATTTCATTGGGCAAAACTATTTTATTTTTATACCTTCATTCCTTTTCAGTATGTCTCAGATGATAGTCTTTATTTCACAATAGTCAGAAGTTTATCTTCCTTCCACAGCTGGAAAAATATGCTATTCTTTTTTTTTTTTTTTTTTTTTTTTTTTACATTTAACTATGTGATCCATCTGAACGGAATTGCAACTGTACAGTAGGAAGCAATTCTTATGCTCTGCACTGATAGCCGGGTGGCTACCCAGCTATCCCAACAGGTCTTAGCAAATCCTCTCACCATTGTTATATTGCTCTGGCTTGTAATATTAAATTCTTAAAGAGTTTAAATAATTTCCACAATCTCTCTCTTGTTGCTTTGAATTATTCCTCAATTTCTGGCCTAATCATACAGTTTGGATAATTATTTTAAAAAAAAATACTGTTCTGGCCAATGCAGTAAGAAATGGAGTATAAATATTTTAAAAAGAGATAAAATTATGTTTACTTGGTCACATGAAATTTTTTTAAAAATCTAAATTCAAGAGGCTAAATATATTGAGTTAGGAAGAAGTCATTCCTAAATATTAATAGTAACTAGAACATATAATTAAATTAGAAATCTTATTTTTTATCTATTAAATCATTCAAGCTGTTATCTTGCCATTTCCTCCCAGAATGCTGGGATTATAGGTGTGAGCCACTGCACCCAGCCCCTTTATTTTTTTATTAGTGTTCTAACACAGTGTTTGGTGAGACTTTCTTTTTGTTTTATACAATTTTGAACCTTCCAATTTTTAAAAACTAGGTACCATGTATTTTTTTGTACTTTGTAATCTTAATAACTGTTTTGAATTTTTTAAATAAACGGATAAGGAAAATGAAACAAAAAGAAGATGAGAGTAGGGAAGATAAGATGCAGCGAGGGATGAAGTTAAGTGTATGAAAATGTGTGCCTTTAAAGTTGTTGCTAGCCAGGCGTGATGCGTGCCTATAGTTGTAGCTACTCAGGAGCCTGAAGTGGAAGGATTGCTTGAACCCTGGAAGTTCAGGCTGTAGTGAGCTATGATCATGCCACTGCACTCTAGTCTGGGTGAAAGAGTGAGACCCTGTCTTTAGGAGAAAAAAAATATTTTAAGGTGTTTGCACTTATGAGTGGTGGGCTATACCACTGACTTTACACTTTCTAGAAATTAATGTAAAGATAACATAAGTTCATGACTCACTGTGTTCAAAACATTAAAAGCTCAGTACTCAGGAGAAGCATAAGTATTCCTGGTACTAATAGCAGAAAGAAATTTCCTTTGTGGGGCCTCATAAAGAGGAAACTAATGGACCCAACATTATCTTTAAAAAAAATATATGTCCTTTTAGTAAATAAAGCAATAGGTTTCAATGAGTAGTTTTTATTCTGTCCCTCAGTAGAGACCAAGTGGCATTGCTGCAGAGGACAATTTAGTGGAAGTAATTCTAGGTGTTGAAAAAGTAAATTAAATGGTAAACTAGGAAAAAATGTGGCAGTGCCTACTGAGGGTGGGCTTATGTCTTAGCTCTGTAAAAGCAGCATACAAATCATGAGAAATATACCAACATGCCAGTAACATGAGCAAAAACATGACGTCATTCATAAAAGAGGAGGTACAGTTAATTAGTAAATAATAGTTCAAACTAAAGCAAGTTTTCATTTTTTACCTACTAACGAAGTGCAGTATTTGGTTGGTTGGTTGGCTGGTTGGTTGGTTTGAATCCCAGTAGTGCTGATGTGGTAAAATGTGGACTGTGGCACAGGGTGGAATCACCCTACTATGCTTCCTTCCCCTCAACTGTGAACAGAGACCAAGGCTACTTCTGGTTCATCTTTTCTTCGTGATCTGAGCACAGTGCCAGGGACTGCATAAGAATTCAGTAACAGCTGAGTGAATGAAAGGATGTAAATGTTTAGAGTGGTTGACTCAGTAATTCTACTTCTGAGAGAGAACATCCTAAGGCAACAACTCTAAATACAAATTCACCAAAAGAAGCGATTTAAGTACACAAGGTTGTTCCTTATAAAAGTGGAAAATCAGAAACAAACTAAAAGTCCATATCTCTAGGATCAGTAAATTATGGTAACTTCACACTGGTACATTATGCAGCCATTGTGTACAGGAGCACCGAGTTTGAATAGCACAGAACTGTTACAAGGGCTGCAAGAAAAGCTGCCAGGATGGTCATAGGGTATGTTTGGGTGATGAAACTCTGGGGTTTTTTTGGGTTTTTTTTGAGTTGGAGTCTCACTCTGTCGCTGAGACTGGAGTGCAGTGGCCGCTCCTGGTCACCGCAGCCTCCACCTGCTGGGCTCTGGCGATCCTTCCGTCTCAGCCTTCCAAGTAGCTGGAA